CTGTAATACCGATGTATATCACATCGGTCATTGTGTGATACAAATCAGCACATACAAGCTGGTGACTGATTCGTAGTCTGGCGGGTCTGAACCAGCAAATGTTGTCCATGGGTGGTGAATGCCGTACATGAATACCTGCTGCAATACATGCTTGTGTGGAGTGTGTAGGTCACGTAATATAACCAGGCTGACATGTGTGATGTGTCGATAGATGAATTGACAACAGAAGAACCTGAGTGCAGCTCACGATACTATTTAATATACAAACAAAATGAAAGAACCAGCTTGGTATAAACAGGCATCCATAGAATGGCCACTCAACGCCGTGTATATTGTCGCCTTGTTGGATATATTAGTATAATGTTACCACTGCCATTCGTGTGTGATACTGGCTTGTGGAATGTATATCATAATATTTCCACGTAATTGCATGTGTGATACAGGCTGATGGAACAATACATCATAATATCACCACCTAATTGCATGTCGATACAGGCTCGTGGACCAGCTTTCACCAGCACAAGTGTTCGATGGCGCTGCCTTCATAGCCTTTCTACTATTACTGTTTTTGGCCATGCTTGGATTGGGGGCCGCTTATCTACCATTTCTGGTATGAAATTCTATTGCGGTGTAGCTATGTTATCTTCTATGGGCTATTGACTGTGCGCATGTGTAGGTGTAGAGGTTGTATTCAATGTTTGTTTACTCCGTGGTGTGCTGTTGAGTATGTATACACACTACACACTACTTTTCATTTTAGATTGGTTGTTAATCGAATGGAGTTCGATGCTGATGGTGGCAGGAGTGGGAAATTGGTAGTGTATCGCATGCACACTACTCTTACTCAATCGATCCATATTGCAACTACAGTATCACTCTCGGAGTATTTATTATATCCGGAGTACTCATTGACTCTTTGTTTGACACTACTACCAACTCTCTACTCGCAGTGGTGTTTAGGTGCGGCCATGGTGATGATCGCTGAGATGGTGTGGCCCCCTACCGCCAGGGGTGTGAGCAGACCGCAAGTTGTTGCGATAGAGTGTGTGGGGTTCATTCTACCTGTCCTATGCGCCAATCAGGTAGGCAGTCATGGAAGAAACCCCTCGTTTATTTTGTATCTAGACCCGCATACAATAGAACTCATCGTTGGATAGGTAGTAGACTATACGTGGTTTATGGCAGACGCACATGTTGTGCCATGTAGTTCAACGAGTGACGTTTGTTTGCTAGTTAGTATAAGATGTGCTTATTTACCTCTATCTACATGTCCGAGCAACACATAAATATAGATTACATACAGGTTCACTTATGCTTTGACGATTTTATTTACATTCCGCATACAACAGCTAGGAATGATTATCGGACAGTTGGTAGTACCGCTGGCGGGACGCATAGGACACATCCCAGTGGATATCATTGTGGGCGTCTTGACCGGTAGGTTCGATATTCCGTCTTTATTTAAAGAGACTTCACTGTCACATGCATTTGCTTTTCTATATGTGCATATTGTAGATTTGAGTTTTGACGTATACATGCCTACATGTATGTTCACACATACAAATCATCACCTATTTTTCTTCTATTATACACGCTCCTGATGCAGAGACAATACCAGAATATTCATCAAACCGTACACGCTCTTATGAATATGTACCGTGCCCTAGAATCTTGTATATAGTTCTCAATCTACCATCTCGAAATATACACATACTTAACGCGTACCTCGGTATGCCTTGGCATAGCTCTGAGTATCGTCACCAGCACGCGTTTCGTCATCCGCCACTGGGTGGGTAGGCGCAATAAAGTGGGCTACTTTATCACCGTTGCCATGGCAACCGTCCTCGTGGCCACGATTGGCTTCAGTATACACGCCACCGTGTACACGGACGAGACTCCAAAGCGATTGTACCTGCAGCACATGAGTCGAAGGTGTGTGTTGGAGTGTTCGCTGATTTGTGTATACATTTGTATTTAGAAACGAAGGGGACGGGGAAGTCGCGTAGATTGGCTTTTAGTGTTTCCAACCACTCCTACCTGCAATAAAAGAGTCGGAGGTTTAAGTTTTGAAGTGGTCGCTGAGTTGTTCACTTTTTTTGGTCTTAAACATGCGTGTTGTGTAAGAAAATGAAATGAAAGTGTTACGGTTCTTGAGGTCGCTGAATTTAAAAAACGTACAGAAATAGAGTACGTATGTCGCATCAAAGCACTTACCAGGAATAGTATTTACCAGAATGATGAACGTACCTTTCATAGTTTGTTATTGATTAATGATACTAGAAACGATTATTGCTTAATGACATTAATACGAGTATGATTTCCGAAAATCGGTGCTTGTCTGGTGTTTGGAATTGTATTTAAGTAGAAAGCCACAGCTACGTAGAAAATAAGACTGTTGTAATCATATATTATCTGAAGATGCATACGTATACGTACGCTTGAAGCAGTTCACGCTTCGAAGGCATATATACAACCAATATTTAGTGTGGTGTGCATAGGCATACTTATACGTATGGACTTACTCGGCAGTGTCAATCTCATGGTAGCATATGTATCGTTTTAATACACAGACCTATTGATCCTTTTTTTTACTTTCTATATATATATATATACCTGAATGTGCAGAGGCGTTTGCGCATAGACCACATGTATTTCGTTATTTTTAGTACGTGTTCTGTGTTGACCTCACTCCTTATCCCGGCGACTCGCAGGTGGCACGATGAGACAGGCGCAGTGACTAAGGAATCTAACGATCTCTTAATCGTGACACCAGACTACAAGGTACATCTCAAATCGAATTCTTAGTCATTTTCAGTACTTCCAAGGCACACCCAAGTGCTTGTTCTGTTTCCAAGGAAGTTGCAGCACCTTAGACTGCGCTCTAACCCCCCCTGTAGTCTCGACATATGTCGGCTGCTGTGTTCTGAGCGACTGCTGGCGTAAGATATATATATACTACACTTCTACACCATTGTATATATTTATATGCTGTCTCCTTGTGTGTAGTATTATAGCACTCTACTCAAGTATATGAACCTACAGGTAGAGCCGTAACTCAAAGCCTCGTACCAGGCCCCACCAATGACCGCGTTGCCGCTACTGACAGCTTCTCATCTTTTCTTATCTTTCTACTTCTCACTTCGTGAGTCCTAATCTCGGCTCTACTACCGTTATATAAAAGGCCTTAACAGCCAAGTCTTCCAATCTCATTCCGAGCATCACCTACTCATCTTTTCCTCCCCCTGGCCAATGGCATGAGAACTCAGGATATTGAGCCGTTGATACCCTACCACGACGCCTATAGGGACGCGACGCCCTGCGAGTGCGGTGAGGTATACTGCGATGTTCCTTGGTACATGTCCATCCAGGTAGTGTTTTGCAGTTATTGGCTGCTGTTATGTATGTCTGTGTATTCCAATAGAGAGATGCCAGTAGGCATATGCAGTTAGAATGTGCCATCGGCCATACAAGTCAGCTATTTCGAAGCGGTGGTGTCGTAGTAGACCTCTGGTGTGCTTCATATTCTGTACCTACGGTAGGTTAATTTATCTAAGTATGTGATATACACAACCACATTGTTTAGGTGTGGGTGTGACAAATGGATTTCAGTATACTTTCATTTTTCTAGTGGACCTTTAAGTCTAGTGCTCTGATGCCAATCTAATTAAGGTGCTGGAAGCTCTGATCCGATAGCTGAATTGTTCGGCCATATTCGTTATTCAGCTTCTTGGCCCACATCGTTGATACAAAACTTACGTGAATAGAGAACCAAAGCATCTCACGATCACTTCTGAATGCACTTGTTTGATGCAAAATAGGAAATGTTCGGCAACGGATATTGCCTGGACCTGGACACCATACCAAAGGCGTCGGTTGAGTTTGAGTGGCGCCCGAGGATAGCCGTAAGCTCGGTGCCAGCGCTTGATGGCAACGACCCAAAGAAAAGTACAACACGCACCATCCACGTGGAATTGGAAGGACCTGAGCATATGAATATGTACATACCAGGTAAGACAGGAAGTATGGGCGTATAAGTTCGTCGTTCTGAATACTCCAAAAGACAATATGTATATGCTTTGATCCGGACACAGGGGGGGAGGCGTGTTTGTAGTTCTATTTTTTCCTGGTTGAAGGATACAGAACGAGTAAGGAATAAGTATGGTGGGTAAGACTCGCATTTCGGTAGGAGCATCTCGTTGTTTGTTTGTTTTATCATACCATGTTTGTACTCTCAACATTTTTCAGTTATTGCAGGGTCTGACAGCGACTTGATGCCACGTTCAATGTGAAGGCTAGGCAACTAGGCAATGTCTATTTATTTTTTTGTGGTTTGCCGTGTGCGTATGCACAACACAAATTTTACTACGACTTTTAAATATTCTGGCCCAAAAACAACACCCGTAACTCACCCTACTCCAATCATTCTCAATTGATGTGTATTCCACGCTACTTATGCTGTACACACACGACAGTGAGTCGAAATGATGCAAAGGTGATCAAGTGGGACATACACGAGGAAGCTGAACTCCCCACGACCAACCCGCTGAATACTTATTTCATCTTCACAGCCAGTGGGTATGTTCTATTCATTTTTAACGCCCACTCTTTGTTGTTTATCGAGTTGATTTTTAGAAATTCCTCTCGGTTTAATACTCGTACCCACTTGTGCTAATCAGTTCTGCCCCGGTATGTGACAGGTCGCCTTGGCGGTCGTATGCGTTCTCGTTTACAATTCAAGGTACGAGTGCGCACGAGCCTTATCCCTTTGCCATCGCGGGCTTCAAGTTTGAGGCTCCACACAACAGCACTGACTATATGAATGATGTCGCTACGGCATTGCCCGAATGGGCAACGGAAGCTGTATTTACGTCTACCTGGGATGGTTTCCGAGGGTAAAAGTCGCTTGGTCATAGATATGAAGTATTGCCGAAGGGGGTGACGCTCCACGGAATGTGGGTCGTATATTTCCGCACAAAAAGTAGTATCCCACCGAAAATAGACGATATACGCGTTATTCAAAACCGTTAACTTCTGTCTTTTAGACATATGAAGACATTGGACGGGCTAGATGACACCGTTCTTCCAGCCTAAACATGAATATAGGATCGAGGGCCTTTCGAGATACAAAACTTACTTAACCTCCGCCAGGCCAGATCGTAACAGAAGTGTTGATTGACCAATCTCCCGAGGTCAATAGAATATAAACCAGCAGGTGCTCCTTCTTGTTTACTACTTCAGAAGCCAGTGTACTACGGTAGATAATATCAACTGCTCGAAATTTTCAGCCTTCGATGAAAATATAATTTACGAACAATGAGCTATCACGACAACACAAGGGCACTAAGCACAGGCCCCAACGGTTCAGTCACACCCTTGGGATTAAATTGATCAGAATGCCTATCCTAATATTGTACATAGCGCGCACCGTTGAGATTCAATAAGGGAGGACACAAAGATTTTGTCGCACGGTTAGCTATTGGTACTTCGCACATGTACAACTATCGCTTCACAGGCTCATATCTGGATTGAAGCTGCAAATGATACAGCCCCCACATTATTTATTCTGTCGCTGGTTGTGTTTCAGCTGTAGCTGTGAATATTAAGAAGACACGTGTAGTGAGTGTCTATCGAATATATATATATATATCTAAATATATACATGTATATGTATATATATATATATATATATGTGTGTGTGTGTGTGTGTGTGTGTGTGTGTGTGTGTGTTCGTGGAGGGTCCAGATACCGTGGAAGTCGTGGCGCTCTTGTAATTGCTGGATGAGGGTCAATGTGAGGCAGTTTCGGGCCTACCAGGTTGCGTCGGATCAATTGTTGGATGCAGACAAAGTGGCTGGTGGTGAATTTGTGGCCACCGTGGCAGACAGGGCAGAGGCAGCCGTGAGTGCGGTAGTCGAGCAATGTGAATATGTACGGGCTATTGCCGCAATTTCCTTGTTGGACCAGCGTTTCGTTGAGTTCTTCCTAATGTCGTCACAGCGTCGGCGGAAGGCTACATGGTCAGGTGTACGCCTGTGCGTTTGTATACAGTTTTCAGGTGGGCATAGATACTGCACGGGAAGCGCAGTGATGGTTTGTTATTGTGTGGGCCCGGGCGAGTTGCGTCCGAGGGGTGAGTGGGTTTGTGCTGACCATTGAGTCGAGTTGTATTCCCAGGTAACCTCCGAGGTAGTCCGAGAATGGTCGCGCGGGGAGCAGGCCACAAGAGTGGAGTAAGTTTGTTTGGTGTTTGGGGAACCTAGGGTATTTAGTGCCCGTGATGATGGTTGCTGCTAGGATGAGTGCTGAGTTACAGCGCTCGAACTGGGTGTCCAGCGCATCCTTCCATATAGGCGAAGCCCAGGCAATAATGTTTCTTTAAGCTTAATACCGCCAAGTGTCACTTTGCAATTGCCGAGTTGATGATTCTAGGAGAGAACGTATCCGCATAGGATATGGATGTTGACTACGAGAAGCAGGCGAAGCTGCATACATAGTAGCATCCCTACGGGAGTTTTGTAAACTCAAGTCAAAATGAACTTATCGGTGACCGATGGGAGCAACGGCATGCGGATGCATGGCAGGCAATGAAAGACGCGGTGGTTTAGGCGATAGACACTTCCCGGTCGAAGGAGAGTACCACTGAACTTAGAAACCGACGCAAGCGATTACGGTTTGAGGGGAGCACTGTTCCAATGGGTCGACGGGAAGAAATGTTACTTAATGTTCTTCAGTACAAAGTTGAACCATGCGCAGCAAAAATGCGGACACTGAACTGGTGTACGGGTTGATGTACTTGATGCACTTAAGAGACCATCTCGATCATAAAGCTTGGTATAGATGACCACTCAGCTTAAACTCAATATGATGCTGCAGCGGTGGAACCATATTGTCGCACCATTCAACGTTACTACATCATACATACTTGGAGGAGACATGTGTTGCCAGACATGTTGAGCAGGGTGCATGAAGGTGCAGTGGAGAGCTACAAGCCCGTGTTAACAATGTATACGGACTGCTGGCAACTATTCCTCAATTACTTCGACCAAGCTCAACAAGACTTCGGACCGACGATTCTGGACGAAGGATGAAGGTGAAGGACCCTTGGTGCACGACTGGTCCAAGGTGGATGAGTAGATGAGCCCACCATGGGAGAAGATGCATAAGATGCTGCAAAAGATAGAAGTAGACGGAGCAAGTGCAACAGTATGCTTACCTTGGGTACCAAGAGCGCCTTGGTTTGACTTGATCAAACAGTTGCTACAGATAGAGCCAGTGTTGGTGACACGAACACGGCATACGTTTCGGAAGTATGCTAAGAACTCATGCGGTAAGACGCCATGGGGGCACACAGTGGTAGCAAGAGTAGGTCCAACCAATGACCATAAGCCAGACCCACGATTATCACAACGACTCGGGCATCCAGAACCACGGCATATCACACGCGTGGAGTGTTTAGATACGGTAAGAGAAATATCGGTCGCTATGGCAGACAAAAACCCTAAAATTAAAAATTAAACACCTGAAGAACAACTACGTCGCACAAAGCTTATATAAGCCCAACCCTGTTCTCAGATGGGACTCCGAAGCCGCACTAGCTGTTCTTGTTGTGTCCCTGGGTACAAAGCCAATCCTCGGACAGTATCAACCTTAGACACGTGAACGAGGCTGGACAGAACAGCGGCCGTGCATTTACAACCGTATCAACGTAACATGGTGTATATAATCGATAACTATCGGCCTTTCTGATGTCTAGTATTGTGTCTTCCCAGCGAGTATCTCTGAATACTAGAAGGGTTGATACACAATGTTATGTAAAGCTGAAACCTCACACGTTCGCTCTAGCTTAATTTGTTTTGTAAAAAAAACTGATATGTGCATAATAGTATTATTTTTTTCAATGCCTTCTGACATAAATAGCCTCCAAATAAACAAGGAGGCTATTAGAGAACATCTGTTCTCGTTCAAGCCTCCAGACCGTCGGAGTAAAGTACTAAATTTTAAACAAATTATATAAAACAATTACTAACGGACACACAAAATCAGTAGTAAACACACACATATATAAATATGTACACACACGTACACGATGCGAATTAAGGACTTTATGGTATCTATACGGCCATACTTGACTACCCTGGTTTGCAATGACACTGTAGGCAGTGTCGGTATAGACATGACCATTCTAATACACACATTTATCGATACATGCTAAAAGTATAGTATTATACTGCGACTGGGAGCAATTTCTTTTACATGTAGAAGGATGCATTACACTGATTCTCAAATGGGGAAGCTCAACACATCCCCCCATTTGTGTATTCGATGGTCATCGTATATACGGCAAGCTAGTAAATTCAAGCCGCGATGCGAAACGGGCTGAAAAGTATGAGCTTGTGGAGAGATTCGAGGACGGTAAAATGAATCGAGAAAAGCTGGAAGAATTTAACTTAGATGCTGCATGTCGAGCTTGTGTATGATCCCACAATCTTGCTGCTGCACGGCGCAGGATGCGGTTATTGAGAAAGATGGGTATACACTACATTATGTCTCCCAAATAAGCTGTACAACAGCTTGTTCAATTACAACGTATAGGTTATATAAAGTATATACTGGCGTATGATATTGACTGCTTGGTGATTGGTGGGAACAATCTAATATTGGATCCACGGTGGCAGAGGGGAGTTGTGAACATATTACATCTTCAGAGTGTAAAGCAAAAGCTCATGTTTACGTGGGAAGAGTTTAAGTAAGCAACAACCAATGTATACAGAAAACATCAAGGCGCGAAGTTTTCCCGAGCGATGTAGGAGATACGGGTTCTTTTATATAGTTCATTTATGTGCTCGCTTCTGTCAAAGTGATTACAGTCGTCGCACGGGGGTAGGCTTAATGCGACTGCTGGAAGTACTATCTGGTTGTGAGATAATCAAGCCTCCAGTTCAACAAGTGATAGAGCTGTTATATCAACAATTAGATAGGTCACGAGTATTATCAGAGATCATCCAGGTAAACAAAATGTATTTTGGGCAGCCTGTGTATGATCCTAGGTCTGAGAAGTTTGTCTCGTTTGTTAATGACCTACTAGATTGGATTGTACACACATTGCACATCACTGGGTTTCCTGGTGTAGAATCACTGTGGTCTGAACTTGGACTGGTAAACTCGCGGGTTGCAACTCGCTGGACTAAAGGATATTACGATGTGTCATCACATCCAAGTACTCCGAAACCTTCACCATATCTTCCATGGGCTCAGTGGGAGTCTGGCGTCTTGTCCTACGATAATATGCGATTAGGATCTCCGACGTTATGCCATATCCACAGGTTACACTATACCTGAAAGTGTTTATCGACAACAGCTTGCACATCGCTAAACTACTCATGATAGTAGTAGACGGCATGCATTGGAGGATCCCTCAGAGATACAGGAAAATCCTGCTGTACTTCTAACCGAATGTATCTTGCGTCAAAAGACACTCATGCAACAACTTGAGGCTATGGACTTCACGGAATTTACACAGGCAACGTTGAACCAAGAGAAAGTGAGCGTCGAGTCCTGGGTTATTGCTGTTTTTTTTTTAACATAAAGCTCGGACTGTGCGTTCAAAAGTTCAGCAAGAGAGACGGACCGTGTGTCTGATGGTTGCGCTAGGTAAACGTATAGAAGACAATTGCTCGGAAGATAATACATATATCACTATTATGTTGGAGCGAGTGTGGGTCGCTCTATGACAAAAACTGATGCGGACGTTTTGCTGGCTTCACAAGTATGCATCGAGCCCAATACAAATGAACGCGTTGCTGTAATAGTTGAACATGCGGAGTGTATGCTGACGGAGAAAACACTAAGAAATGGTAGTAGAGGAAGAGGTGTTAGGCCTTGCCATTATCATCACAGTTGTGTACATGTGAGGGCGGCATTTGAGAGGATGTATGTACTTGGATCGAAGGGAAGTACTGACGGAGACAACATGTGGCCTAGTAAGAGTCGAATAGCGACGATTAATGCGAATGTACCATTTTCAAAACTATTACGCAATTTTCACGACTGTGGCGAGCGAGATATTGCAGTCGCAGCGGCTCATACAACGTATAGTGTTTGGCGTATGACGCCACTGAGTCTAAGACCGCAGCCAATTGATATATCTCAAGAAAGAATGTTGCGGGAGCGTTTATTGAAGTATAGAAACCTGCGACTCGAAAATGAAAACACAAGTGTACGAGAGAGAGAGGGTTTACGATAGATAGTGTTTTATTATTCGATCGTGAAGGCCGTAAAATAGTTGACTGATATATGAGTATCATAGTTTAATAATAAATTTTATTAATATTCCATAATTATATTTGCATTGTCACCTTGAGCCTGAACTGTAGTGTTCTGGTTTGCGTCACTATAAATACTATTATTACTCTTATTTATGTC